GGAGCGTGCCACACCACAGTTTCCCTACCAGGACTCTGTTCTCCAGGCATAACTGTTGTGCCAGATGCCTAGGATCTCTTCTCCCCATCTGGGGCTCACAGCTTCGATGTGGGACTGAAATTCTCCCAGGTGGCCTCGGGGGTCTCCAGTGTGCGTTAAGGGGCTCTCTTCTAGCTGGTTCCGGGTGCCTTTTCCCAGCCCTCACCGCGATCTTGGCCAGGCTGGGAAAGAGACAAGTGGCTCTTATGTGACAGCGCCATCTTCTGGGAAAATCTGGGAGAGCCATTTTTCTGCTGCTGCCCAAGAAAGTGGAGTTGTTTTTATTTAGCTGATAAAGTTATAAAGTTCTGGATTCTGTTGTTGTTGTTGCTTTTGTTGTGGTTGTTGTTGTTGTTGTTGTTACAGGGTCTCTATGAGCAAGACCAGACTGGCCTCGAACTCACTATGTGACCCAGGCTGACCTAGAACTCATGATCCTCCTGCCTCAGCCTCTCAAGTGTGTGCCACCACTCCCAGCTCAAATTGTGAAGTCTGGGCTTTCTTAGCCGTCACCCATCCATTGATCCAGTCTGTCTTCACACATCATCCCAGATGGCCCAACACCCCGCCCCCAGGAACCAAGAAGCTGCTGGACACAGCCCTTCTTACCTTTCAGAGTTTGCTTTTTAATTCATGTTCATTTGTTAGTCTACCTGAGGGCTCACTGGCAGTCAGGAGACTAAGGCACATAACATCAGTGTCATGAAAATCAGGTCTGGGCCAGGGGTTTAGCTCAGTGGTGACACCACCTGCTTTGCAAGCGCGAGGTCCTGAGTTCGATCCCCGGTACAAAAACAAAACAAAACAAAAAACCCCACAAAAATCAGGTGTCTGAAGTCAGGTACAGTGGTACACACCTATGATCCCAGCACTTGGGAGGCTGAGGCAAGAGAATTGCTGGGAGTTTGAGCCCAGATATTCTGGGTCTGACAAAATGGAATCAGATGTCTCTCTGTCTGTCTGTCTGTCTCTCTGTCTGTCTGTCTTTCTCTCTCTCTCTGACTTCTTTGTCTTTCATTAGGGTGCCTGTATGCACACAAGTGTGTGTCTATGTTCCTATAAGTGGACTCTTTCCTGTGTGTGGTGCTAAGGGTCAGAACCACGGCCATGAGCTTGCTAGGCAAGTGCTACACCCACTGACCACACCTCAGCCCCAAAGGGGGATTTATTATTTTAAAACATGATTTTTAGGGCTGGGGTGGTGGTGCACACGTCAGCCCAGCGTTCGGGAAAGTTGAGGCAGGAGGATCAGAAGGTTGAACCCAGCCTGGGTAATTTAATGGCTCAGCGAGACCCTGTCCCAAAATAAAAAATAGATGCTGGGGATGTAGCTCCGGGATGCCATCCCTGGGTTCGATCCCCAGTTACCTGCTCCTGCCTCCAAAAAAGAAAACACTATGGAATTTTAAAGATCCGGATCCTTGCCCCTCACAAAGTGGTCTCTTTGAAAGGGCTTTTTTGGAGTCATTGCTTGAAATTATTTGAATTAACCCCAAAGCACCAACTTTCTCAGACTCTGAGAATAGATCACATTTTTTTCTTTTCTTTTTTTTAGACACAGGAACTCGTAGGGAGCCCAGGCTGGCCTTGAACTGGCAGCAATCCTCCTGCCTCAGCCTCCAAGTCCTGAGATGCGTCAGCTGTTAGGTTGTTTTGAGGACCCTGTGTTGCTTGGGTGGGCAGGGTAGGAAACTCACACTTCGCCCTCTACACACAGAAACACCATCTGCTGCGATGCCCACACGTTGCCGGCTCCCACGCCGCCCGCCCTGCCTTTGCTGCTGCTCCTTTGGCAGCTCCCCTGCCCATCTGCCTTCTGCCATACACACTGCGGATGCACCTCCTCCGTGGGTGCCTCCTTATCTGCATGAACAACTCACCCTCCCTGCAAGTTGGGATTGTTTGAGTCAGGAACAGCACCTCCCAATTCATCTTAGAAAAGTTGATTTGTAATCATCATAATAATAACAATAATAATTTGAGACAGGGTCTTGCTGCGTAGCCCAGGCTGGCCTCGAACTCACAGGGATCCTCCTGCCTCAGCCTCCTGAGTGCTGGGAGCATAGTTGTGCACCACCAAGCCCTGCAATTTTGCTCTTATCACAAACACTCTCATTTCTTCAGAGCCTCATCTAAGATGGGGAAATGTTAGGAAACAGATGAGAACAATGTGAAAATATAATTTGTTTACATTTTTGTTTTGCATTGAGATGGGCGGGAACCAAGGACTTGTGCATGCTGCTAGGCAACCTCTCTACCCTGGAGCCGCACCCCCAATCCCTCTTTCCTTTGTTTTATTTTATTTTTTCTTTTGCTGTTTCCTTTGAGACAGGGTCTCACTGTGTAGTTGAGACTGACCTGGAACTCACTATATAGCCCAGGCTGGTCTCGAACTCACAGCGATCCTCCTGCCTCAGCCTCCCATGTGCTGGGATTTTCTTTCTTTTTTTTCCTTTGTTTTAATTGAAAAGAAAAAGGCCTCAGGAAAGAGCACACTTCTTACATGTAAGGTCCATGAGTTCTTTTTTTTTTTTTTTCTTTGTGTGGTACTGGGGATCAAACTCAGGCCCTTGTGCATGCAAGGTAGGTGCGGTGCCTCTGAGCTAAACCCCCAGCCCCTTAAACTCAGCGAGTTCTTCCCACCACTCGGGTGAAGCTCTAACAGTGAGGGTTCCTACCTTGGAAAAATCTCTCAAATTCCGTCTCTCCTTTGAATTCCCCACTGCTGCTGAGTCTGATTGCTATTTTACTTTCCCCCGGGGCCTGGTTCACAGCCAACACTCAAATAATTGAGTGAATGTTCGTGGTGGCGCACGCCTGTCATCCTAGCACTTGGGAGGCTGAAGCAGGAGGATCGCGGAGAGTTCGAGGCCAGCCTGGGCTACATAGTGAGACCCTGTCTCAAACAAGCAAAAACCAAACACACATGGTTGACAGAATGAGACGAGGAAAGGGGAAGAAAGTAGGCCAGTGCTCAATGTGCTTGGGGTGATTATTTTCATACCCAGGATCCTGAGTTAAGGCTCATCCACCGGGAATTCAGAGGTAGGATCTGCCTCATTCCATAGTTTCAGGGCGGGGATCAAGGCTCTGAAAAGTGGAGCCCCAGGCAGGCTCCACCCCACTCCTCGGCGAGGCTCCGCCCACCCCACCCAGCCTTGCCGGGGCGCGGTCCCCCGGGAGCCATCCCCCCCCTCCGCTTTCCCGTCAGCCAATGGGCGGGAGGCCGTGGGCCGAGCTGGGGCTGGGCGGGGCTGCGCCTGGTTCCCGGTGGTATAAAAACGTGCCGCGCTGAGGCCACCCCAGTGTGTCCCTGTGCGCCCCGGGCGGGTCCCAAGCTCTGGGGGTCTTTGCTCCGGAAGTGCCCTGGTGCCATTTAGTGGGAGAAAAGGGGGTGCCCGAAGCTCCCCACCCCGCGCACTGGGGGCCCCCGAGTGGCCCACGCGGGCGCAGACAGAAGGACGAGGAGAGGCCCCGGGACGGGGGGAGGGAAGACGGGACCGCGGGGACACCCGGTTCCGAAGCTCATGCCAGCTGCGGCTCGTGGCCACCCGGGGGACCCGGAACGCTGTGGGAGCGGCTGCAAGGGTGGGGTCCTAGCGGTGGCGGTGCTGTCTCAGGTGGCCGGGGGCTCGAACGCCCCGAGGCAGCGGTGGCGTAGAAACCACGGTCCCCGGCAGTGTCCCTCGGCACCTGGCTCCGCGGAGGCTGCAGCAGGCACCGGCACCCCGTGTTGAGCCCTGGTGTCCCCTTGGTGGAGCGGGGTGGGGCGACCTCTGCGCATCGCCACCCGCGCCTCCGCCCGTCCCCGGCTCCCGTCGAGGCCCCTGCATGTCCCGGACCTCGTGGCCAGGAAGCGACCGCCGCTCGCTTTCCTAGTCCTGGGAGGGCGGTGGCCCCAGCCAGGCGCTGGGTGTGGCCGCCTGTCCGCCCGAGTCTCTCTGGAGTTTTCCAATCCCGTCGCCACCAGGGTCCCAAAACTACTCCGTTTAATTATATACTGCACGTTTCCTCTTTTCAGACTTGGCTTTTTACGTAGCTTGCTGGAAAAGTTATACACACACCGCGGACACACTACCATATCGCTGTCGTTTTCTCTAATTGCACAAGTACACACATTCAAAGCCGGCCTAGCGGCGCATGCTTGTATTGGGAGGCTGAGGCAGGAGGATCGCCATGAGTTCAAGGCCGGCCGGGGTACACAGCGAGCTCGAGGTCAGCCTGAATTACAAGGCGAGACCCTGTCTCAAAACCATAGTAACTATCAGATCCCAGAGCCTTGCAGAGCAGGACGTGGTAACAACAGGAAACTGCTGTTCACATCCGAGGCTCACCGGGGTGCAGCTGGCGGAAATTTCCGCGCTTGAGATGGAGCAGAACTCGCAGGGCGGCTCACGAGCGCTGGTTGTCAAGGCAACGGAGGGGCGGGGTCTGTCCCGCCCTGGGGGTGGAGTTACTCGGGGGGGCAGATCGGCCGGGAGGCGTTCCCCACCTTTCCCTCCAGGTGGCGCTCCAGGATCGTGGATGCTGCCCTGGGGCGGGGCTTCTTGCTGGGCAGGGCGCCTCGAGGGGCGGGGCGGGGCCCG